TGCACTACAGGCTAGAGTACATGCACAGCTCATTCCCCTCCTGCCACCCCAACAGTTTCTCACTTCTGCCCTCTAACCATCTGACAGTTATGTTTTACCAAGCTGACCTCTCATCAGAAGGATACAGCTCCCTGCCTCTGATCAGGCTGCCCTTACTAATCTTCAATAAACCTTATAGGCAAAAACAATCTCTCACACAGGCATACATTTACACTCTGCTTCCATCTTTTCCTGCCTCCATCCAACCCTGACTTTTTCATTCCTCTCACCACCTCTCTTTTGCCTCACTTAACCTCCTTGATGTTAAAGTCATGGTCTCTGACCATGCCCCCAACATTACAGCTTGTCCTGACCTTTCTGTGCCCCTGATGGTAGTGTCTCATATCCACTTAAAATTTCACTTCTTTATGTACAGGAGAGCTACTTTTCTTCCTCATCCTGCTCTTGTTCTCTCAATTTGAAACTGTCACACACTGTTGCACACACACACCTCCCTCCTATGTGGCATCAGATACAAGTTAGGACTGTTAAGAAGAGAGGACTGCTGGGATCTTTTATAGACACATCCAATGGATATCTGAGTGACCACAGAACAAAAATCAAAATGCTGCAAGTATGTAACAGTTTCACAGCATGTCATAAGAAGGAACAAATCTCAGATTATCTGCTGCAGTGAATCCGAATACTAAAGGGGCAACACATGCACAAACTGATATATAAAAATTTCAGACATTTAAAAGTACAAATGACAAAAATACTCATGTATATTCAGAAGCAACTACAGACATACAGTCACACAGAAAATAAAGCATAATAGCCATGGGGGGTTTGTCTGGTTGTTTGTTTACTAAATTGAATAAATGCAGACAGTTTTTTGTGAAATTGTTTTCTATTTAAACAAATAGCCTCACAGTCATAAATTACAAACAAAAATGAGTCTGGGTCTCTTATCAATTCACTTCATACCACAAGGGGTATATGCAAATATAGTTTGCGTGTTTGGGGGCGTGACGAGTAGGAAGGGTGTAACTGAATTAAAGACAGCATGTGGTGAGATGTTGACTATCAGACAGAGAAAGGAACAAAGAGAGGAAGATGAAGAATGAGAGCAGAGGGGTCCCTGAAATGCAGGCTGAGAAGAGATGATTACCACAAGACGAATGCCACCTTGCCCACAGTGTGGGCAGAGGGAGAAACCACTCCAGTATCCCTCACTCCAACTCACAAAGGACTGCAGCACTTGCTCAATGCTCCTTCTAACCTGTCAAATACCATTAACAGATTCCTACTCCGGTGCAAAGAAAACGATTCTTCGGGTGGGACAACCAAAAGCAAAAATTCCCCACCAATACAAATCTAAACTGACATTCTCTGTGGGCCATTGAAAATCCTTTACAGGAAGAGCCGCAGAGGTCCCTCGCTCCCTCTCCTCAAAACAACACCACATTACCAGTTTCTGTGAGTCATGACTCATGGCCTACTTCCAGAGCTTTTGCCCCTTTTTCATATGCTGCTGGTTTGATATACAAAGGCTATGTCAAAAAATATCACTTCACTGTTTTCTCTAGGGATTTTTGGTGTACTGAATATAGTTTAGAAGAAAGGTATTTCTCCAACATTAGCAGAGAATCTACTGAAGGAGAAAAGATGAATACTTTCATGGGGCCCTGAGTAAAGAGCAGCCTCCTTAGAGAAACAAGGTGAGACTACTGTGTACTAAATCTGATGTATTAGAGTGGGAGGAACAATGTCAGAGCTCATCGGGGAGTCCTAAAATTCTGGCTATGTACATGCAGTAAAGGCCTAATTAGATCCCAACCCCAAAACATGTCCTATTTATGATCTCTGAATAAGTACAGCTAGTTAATAATAATGCTCTATACAGTGCATATGCTCTGATGAAGAGTTACACAAGCTAATTTTCTTATCAGGCTAAAGAAAGCTTTGCGTAACTTTTAATTCAAAGAAATTATGCATAAATGTTTGTTTAATTTTGCAAAAGAGAAAGTAATGCCTAAATTTGGGGGTGTAATTAAAAAATAAGTAGTGTAATGAATGACAGCGCTGTGATGGTAATATGCTATATAGGAATACTGCTTCAGAAATGAGTGAAAAAATGAAACTCACATTGATTAAACAATGTAAGTGATCACACTGGGCAGCCATATGAGACAGTATGTTGCATAATTATATTAACTGATCAATTTCTGTGGAAACCCCCAATCACAACAATATCACATATATCAGAAGCAGCAGATATGGGAGTTATGTTAAATTATCTTAATCGTATTCATCACTATGAGAAGCAACCACATTGTGTAGGCTTGTCTATTCATGTATGGACAACAAACTGTGCATTTTCTCAGTCTGATCTGGCAAACTACTACGGCACTACACTGTAAAACATTTTGATGGTGCATACTTGACTAATTATGCCATTATTGTTACACATTTATTCAAATAAAACCTCATAACATTGTTTTTAGTACAACAGATGATCAAACCTGTCAAATCTTATTAGAGCCATGGATGCAGAACACGAGTTCTTGGCAAGCACAAGTATGTCAATAAGGATGGACCTCATACTGAGAGTAATCTGGAACTGCTGCTACATCTCCTCTGTATTTGCAGAGATATCTAGGTGTCAAATTAGACTTTTTAACATCCATTGGAACAGCACAAGTAACAACTCTAATCATAACAGAAAACCCATCAACTTAAGAAAGCCTTGCATCAGTGTGATTAGCATTTCATGCTCACATTAACCAATTAATAAACACATTCACTACACATTTAGTAAATCTACAACTGCTAGTTAATAAGTACATGTGTTTTTGTACTTACACAAAGAGCAATGAGCATGTGTGTATTCAGAAATTACCCAAGAGAGCAAACAAATGCAGAAAACCAATCACTAAGGTACACATTTACATGTAAGTTAGAAGAGATGACTGTATGGTAATAATGTTAATAGTAGTAGAAGTAGCTGTATGGATATACTGTAAGCATGGGTAGCAGCAACACTGATGTAGCAGAGGAGGACCAGAAGCTAGACTTTTCATTAGTGCTGGTACCTTAGTATCAGAGTGACAGGCTCAGTGTGCACAAGGCATAGACAAAATGAAAGTACACCAACAACTGAATGGAATCTCTACAGTGATGTTGCAGTAAAACCTACCCCTACTAATACAAAGGTACAGAAAGTACTGTGTCTCTGTGACTGTCTCTGAGAAGCCTTCATGTCAGGGGCTACTTTTGGAGGCCTTGTTTTACTTTGCTGTTGTATTGGATTGCATTAGCGTGGATTCATTATATTATCCACCAAATGTATGTGAATACTGTAGTAAATATGTTTAAGGTTATCACTGAATGCTGCTGACTTGAGTGTTCTTTGAAGTGCTGGTAGACTGACAGTGCTTTGTGTTTGACATTCAGCAGTTAGCACCACAGACAGCGCCGTGCTATAGAGACTTCACCACAGTAAAAAGGGAAAAAACAGGAGCGACATTTTAACACATGGGGCCTTATTAAAACTGGTGTTATTGTGCCTTGGGTCAGTATTCATATGACCATACAGTCTCACACTTGCATACAAACAAACACCTACAAAGACAGATGCACAAAGCTTCTTACTCATCCTTTTCTCTCCCTCTCTCTAATGTGTCTATGAGCTCACTCCATCATCTGTGACAAGACCACGAATTTACTGCAACACCAAAGCAAACCCACATGCAATGCTGGCAGGTGTATTCACCAGTGAGATTAGGTTAAATCTCTAAAAATAAAAAATAAAAATGCTAAAATGGACTCTTTCACATGGAGAGATGTACATGCAAGGAATGGGAATAAAACAAGGCCTGTCCTCCCAGACGCCCATCAGGATTCAGTCTGGAAAGCTGTAGTCGGAGGATAAAGGACATGCAATGCCTTTGATCAGGAGAGGAGAGTTTTGCAGGTGATAGAGGTAAAATGGAGGAAGGTATCTGAATATCTGTCAGGTTAGAGGAGCTTATTTCTGTCATGAATCTGTGGGGGGAAAAACATCAGAATTCAGACTTTTTTTTCAGCTCCCTCTGAAAAATCTCCAGACATCCCTTTGCAAGAATGTGTCCCAATCAGGCATGCAATTACAATCGAGAACATGCTGTGCAATGTAACAGCAGCAGGCAACTCGGATGGAAACAACACACACTGTTTCCTGCGCACTGTGTAGCTCAATTACAAAGCAGATCATCCAGATTTTTCCCCCTTGTTATTAAGCCTGTAGTCAAACTTTTTGTGGAGCAAAACAAAACTTGAACATCTGACAAAACACAAGTTTCACCTTTCCTCCAAGAATTTCAGAGGTTGCCTGAATGTGCCAGTGTTACTTCAAATCCCCAGGACTAGTGAGTGAATGAGAGAAGGATTAGAGGGTTAATGCCAGTAGATGAGAGAGAAAAGGTCACAGTGGTTTGCCACTCTGCAAGGATTAGCTCTGAAAACAACTTCACAGTCAAAAACTATGTCAATCAAGAACATAATTCAACCACTTCACAAAGGCCCTGAAACATGAAACTAAAAACTCATTTTCTCCCAGCTACAAATGAGCTTGTAACACTCAGTCATAACTGAAATATCCCATGCACATTATATCAAATCAGACAAATATCTGAGTACATGAAAAAGCTCTTTCCACACAATGTTTACTCCCTGGGATTATATTTGAGGTATGTGGATGGATAGACGACAATGAGGCACACCTGTGGAATGAGCCTATGTGCTGCAGCTTCAGTGACACCCCAATATGAATGTGATGAATACGTCAGGCCTACTGGGGGGGGGGGGGGGGTCTCTGATGAAGGGTGGGGTGTCCCGATGGCGACGCAGATTTACCATGTGCATGTGCAGCAATACATTAAAATAGGGCATAACCACCACAATGCAAAAAATTCCCGGGGAAAGGAGGGGGATGCATGACCCCTCGTAAATGCGGATTAGCAGAGGAATGTTCTACACACCTCGTTTATCCTGGATCTTAACAGTGAGCTCCACGAATGGATCTGTCTCCCTGTCAAGCCGCCTGGTTATCGTAATATCTCCACTGTCGCGTCCCACGGTGACGGGGGAGCTCTCCGACTCCGAGTAAATCAACTCATAGGCGGCTGACTGAAACCTGGTGGGACTCAGGCTCGTTATGACCGAGCCGCTGCTGGCATCTTCCGATACGTTGAGAGGAACCCAAGGGCCCGG